ATGGGGCCTATGACTAAACAGTGGTTTGGGGATCATCCTGGTTGAAAATAATGTGGATCCATGAGGATCTATGCATCAGATCCATGTTTTGCACCACTGCAAAACCATGAGCTGAGGAACCCATGATTTCTGTGGTGTAGTCTGTGGGAACAAATGGGCCTTATGACTGGATAATGGTTTCGGGATGATCCTATGTAAAAGTCATGTGGATCCAAGAATTCCTGGATATCTCAGTGGTTCAGTCTCTGGCTACGAAGGCAGAAGTTGGGAACCCAAATCCCCACTATGCCTCCTTGTCAGGGGCTGGACTAAGGTGGCTGTTGTTGTCTGTGCCTTCGATTGGTGTTTTTGCACCACTGCAAAGCCATGCACTGGAGGACCCATGATTTCTGCGTTGTAATCTATAGGCACAAATGGGGCCTATGAATGGACAGCAGTTTCAGGATAATCCTGCATAAAAATCTTGTGCCTCCGTGATCCATATGTCAGATCCATGTTTTTGTAAGACGGCAAAGACATGCGCTGGGGGACCCATGATTTCTGTGTTGTAATTTATGGACACAAATGGGGCCTATGACTGGACAGTGGTTTGGAGATGATCCTATGTAAAAATCATGTGGATTCATAAGGATCTGTCTTCAGATGCCAATTTTCACATGACTGCAAAGCCCTGTGCTGAAGGATCCTCAATAGCTGTGATTTAACGTGTGGGCAGAGATGGGTCCTATGATTGGCCAGTGGTTTGGGGGCGGTCCTGCACAATGTTCCCACTATTTTTCAGCCCCATTGTGTGTGAGCCTCACCCTGTGCGCACATGGAAGATGGTGTTTCTTCTGAAACTGGAAGTAAACAAACTAATGGGGCTCTGCGCATGTGCAGCTTAGAGGGAAGGTTGATCCTACATAAACGTGTGGATCCAAGAGGATCCATATGTCAGGGCCATAGGCCCTGAAGAACCCTAATTTCTGTGTTTTACTGTGTGGGCAGAGATGGGCTATATGACTGGATAGTGGCTTGCATATGATCCTACATCAAAATCATGTGGATTCATGAGGATCCAAGCATCAGATCCATGTTTTTGCACCACTGCAAAGCCATGATCTCTATAGTGTAACCTATTTATTTGACTAATAGAACACTTTTAGTTCCTAAGAGCAAAATATATGGCTTCACTATTGTGGAGCCATAATTGATGAAATGAGAAATTATTGAATTATGAAAATGAATGCAGCAATATTTTGCAGTCCTAATTTTCTGTTAACTTTGGTATGATCAGAATACTTAACTATTTATTGGACACTACTCGTTGGGGCAAAACGATTAGGATACCTTCTGCTTGTATATGTTTTGCTCTGTCTGTTCACACAAGACAGAGCTTTGTGAACTGTAACACAAAGATCAGGGAGAATATGTGCACCTGAGTTCAAGGACTTCTACTTCATTTCTTAAACAGTTGTAATTGAAGCAGGATTGATTATTCTTTGGATCCATTCAATAATATCTGTCTGATGATCTATGCAAAATTTCTTCAGGGGGGTAAACATTAAAATGTATATTTGCAATAGTTCTGTTATTCAAAATCGCACATCACTATCTAAAACGATGAGATGCATCTGCAAGCCACTGCTCTGTGTTTTTTAATGCCTATATGAGCATAAGCAGACTTCTTAATGCAAAAACATTTTAGTTATTAAGGAAAGAACTAGAGGCTACAATCCTACTGCAATCCTATTTATCCCCATTGAATGCAATATAAATGTAAAGGATTGCACAGGAAATTATAGAAGAGTGCTGCAAAAGTATGTTTTTCTCTTCTTAGAAGATATTTTCTGCATTGAGAAAGCTCTTTGTGCCTATGATTCATATTTTCTAACTGGTGTTTTAGATATTATAATTGATTATCTTCCATATAAAAAAATTCATTTATTTAGCTGGGAAGTTTTTCCTGATATTCAACTGACACCTAGGTTTTTTTGTTTTTTCTTTTTCTTTTCTTTTTCTTTTCTTCCTTTTTTTTGCTGTTATTGAGCTTATGGTTGCTATGAATCTTATGCTTCTGGAAAGTGGTTTCAGACAAGAGAGCAGACTTATTCTACAAGTATTCATCATGGTATGACTCTTTGCTTACTCAGATATATGTCTAACTAAAATAAATTAGCCTTAATCCCTCAATAAATGGGCACAGGAAATTAATATACCCATATTCATTATGAAGCAGAGGTTACGGGGGTTACTTGCTTGAACTACGACTTCCAGAATCTTTCAGAGAACATGATCAGTAATTGTTTTGGCTCAGGGAGTCTGGATGGTATAATTTATTTATTGAAAATGTATTTGAGTCCTACTATGAATCTCATCCTCAATATAACACAGCAATGAAACAAAGCCACAGGTAATGGGAAGGGGGGGTAGCAAAGTTGATGACACACTGGATTGGCACTTGCTGGTTTGTGTCTGTGTGCAAAATGTCAAATTTAATCCAGTTAAGCTAGAATACTTTCTAATTATAATATTCCAGCTTGTTGACACCTTGTTCCCCACACCCTGCCATGACTTCTGAAGCTTGCTTTCACTTTCCCCTGGCATCAGCAAAAACTGAGAATAATATAACAGTCATCTCAGGAGAATATTACCAGAAGCACAATGTGTATGACAAAATTAATTTTATTTATTTATTTATTTAACTTATATGCTGCCCACACTACCCGTAGGTCTCTGGGCAGCTTACAGCATTTAAAATACAATAAAAAGGCAAAATAAAAGGGCAAAATAATTAAAATGCAAATAAAATACAGATTCTAAAAATTGCCATCAGACCTACAGCTGATATTATTTCAGTTAAAAGCCATTTGGAACAGGAAGGTTTTGACCTGGCGCCGAAATGTCATCAGTGTCGGCGCCAGACGAATCTCAGTCGGGAGGGCATTCCATAGTCTAGGGGCAGCTGCCGAAAAGGCCCTTTCTCTACAAGCCCTCCCTTTTATCTCCTTAAGGGATGGCTCTTTCAAAAGGGCCCCCTGATTAGATCTTAACTGCCAGGTAGGTTCATATGGAAGGAGGCGGTCCTTCAGGTATCCAGGGCCCAAGCAAAAGCAGTGTATACAGATACTTTATATGACCCTTCTTTCCCCCATTTTTGTTCTCTAAGGTAAGTTTGACTGAGTACTGATTGATTCCAGATACACTTTGTGACCGAGCAAGGATGTCACTTGGTCTGATTGCATGTGAGTCCTGAAATCACACTCCCTCAATCCAAAGCAGAGACTTTCCAGCTAGCAGTGATTTGCTGCTGCTGCTAATGCTGTGTCATCAGTATTGCTATACAACAGGATCCTGGCTAATGGTGGAATGACAATGCAACAATGAATGTGCATTATGTGCGTAATTTGAAATGTAGGTTTGGCTAGGACTGAGTGACCCAAAGATACCAAGTAAACTTTGTGACTGAGGAGATTTGGACTCATCCCTTCTTGGACCAAATCCAACACTCACACCATTAAGTTCTATTATGGCTCCCTGAGATCCTTGATTACTGTATAAATGCATTCAGGTTATTGGCCAGTAACCTATTTTGTAGATTCACTGGGGTAGCGGGAATGATGTCAATGGCAACAACATGTTGCTAATTATAGAGTCCATGCTTCCGTTTTGGAGTGTACAAAACTTCATCTCATCGTACATGAGTTGTGTATACCCTGGAATCCTTTAATTGTGAGTAAATTGCCATTACCCTTTAATTATGAGTAATTTACCATGGATGTCATTTCTGAAACACTGATGTAGCTCCACATCAGGATACTGGCCATTGATAGAAAAATAATATAATGATGAACAGGGATGGGGACTCAAGCTGTGAGGCTCGCTGTCAAGTTGGACTTAAGTCACACTAGTGACTTGACTCAAACTCAACTCAGGGTTTGTTCCAGTGTCTTGGACTTAGCTCATGACTTAGAACCCACCCCTCCCTTTTTTCTGGGCTAAAGAGCTTTTTTAAATAGAGACTCGGGCTTGGAACTTGGACCCAAAGACTTGCCAGCATCCCTGATAATGAATGTGCCAAATTTGCCTAATGTGAAATATCTGCATTAATTATCAGATTATACAAATTTGGATCGTATGCCAATTGGATTTGTGTTAAGCTACCCAGGTGTAGAGAACACAAATAGGGCACCTCTGTGGAAGACAGACTGGCGCAAGATACCTACAGACACAATGCAACATGCCAAGGAATCACTATATATATGTATATGTGTATGTGTATGTGTATGTGTATGTGTATATATATATGTGGATGTGTATATATATTCTCTATATATATTTGAATGTGGGATGCATGCAGAAGGGAGCAGGAGGAGCCCTATGACTTTGCTTTTTGGACTACCTCCTTGCAAAACTCTGAAAAACCGATGCACTGGGAAGTCTGGCACCTGGTCACTGAAGATGATACTGTAAACTTCAAACACATCGAGGCAATTACTACATAAACCAAAATGGCTCACTCTTTGTTATTTTAACAGAATAATCCTAGGATGGGCTGCCCAGGATTCCAATAATATGCATGTCAGTTTTCAAGTGTCTCGCTTTTATGACTTTGGAGTTATAAGTCTGAGGGACAGACACACACCCTCTTACTGTATTAAAGAACATTACATTTTTATCCTTTATTTCCTCCCAGTGTCTCAAGGCAGAATGCATTGTTCTCCATCCCATGTTTATACTGATTTCATTTTCACAATGAGTTACCTGAGATACATTATGCTGACAGAACATGACTTGTCCAGTGCCACACATGCTGAATGCTGGGGTATTCTGTGACATAAATATCTGTATTTGGAAGAACCTGGGGCATGTCTGTGTGCAAGGCACCTTACATTCTCTCATGGAGCCTCAACAGAAGCTCAATGTAAAATGTGATGGCATTTATTTGCCCCTGGGAAATGAATGACTGTTTTCATTTATGCAAAAGAAAGTAAATATATATTTAAAGACATTTTGGGTGTGTAAAGAGAAATACATAATTTGTAAGTAACAGGTACATGTGATATGATATTCTGCCAGCCTCTGATTGGTATTAATACATACAGTATGTGATCGCTTACAATTTAACAAATTAAGCTAAATCCTGCCAAGATATGTCAACAAGGCTAAAACATGTTTGTTTTGAATTCTGTGACAAATATTTAACATTCAGACTGCAAATCTGAATATTGTTTCAAATATTGTTTTGACCTTTGAAAAACGGGGCACATTTCCAATGTTTTCAATTAGGACTTTCAGAGCTTATTGCTATCTAATGAAAGCAGTACCTATGGAAAAGCAGCTCCCTAAAATACATATACTTTCCCAAGGTAAACCAAGAAACACAATAATTTGGACCTAGATGAAATTAGATAAAACTCTTTGCAGTGTATTATTAGGATTAAAAACATAGCTGAATTAGGAAAAGACACAGAATAGAGCCTGAACTATATATTCTATGTAAATTGTTCCAGCATATGGATTAACATTGTCTCATTGTGGCAGATTATGCAAGCACACACTGTCCGTGTATTTAATGTAAAATGCAACATAGCAAATGTCCTATTCACACAAATGTGTTCAAAGTTCTCCAGACCTTATGAGTAAGACACCGCTTTTGAATCATCTGTCTGTCCGTTTCTAGGAACTGTTCTTTGTGTCTTCTGCAAGTGCCAATTTTTATTTCAGCTGCACAAGCATCTGTAGAGGAGTATTGATGCTCATGGCCAAACTTTCCAGATAGGTCCTCTCACAACAGTTCTGGTCAGTGCCTTGGTGGTCACTGCTCATTGTCATGCCTTCGTTGACTTGATCTGCAGCATCACTGGTGTCTTCAGTCAGCTTCAGGTGACTGGCCTGTATCAAGGCACTACAGCTGCTTCTCCGCCTCAATCCCTGGCTGAAAGAATTTGGGCTCTGGTTCTCGTCAACATAGCCTTTTGTCTTGCCGTTTGCCTTGTTGGTTTCATAGTTTCTAAGCTCCATGAGCTTCTCATTGTAATATTCTTGCAAAGTTTTGTCACAAAAGCTACTCTTCGTTTTGCACTGCCGGTTAGTAAAATGATCTGTAGAGTGTCCCAGGTTTCTGTTTTGATCCACCAGTCTTAGAAGGTTTTCAGATCTTTTTCTTCCCAGGTCCTGCAGCACAAAATTGGAAGCTCTGGAGTAATTCCTCTGCTTCAAAAGAAAGAAGAAATACGTAAGTTAAGAAAAACATTGTTTTTAGATGTCATTTGAAATTATTGTTTTTCATCATCAATGACATCAGTAGAGCAGCCTGCTAATCTATGCAGGGGAACCTTTCAAATGATGTGTGAATTAACAACCGCCCCATAAAGACTGGGAAGCCTATCCAACATGGGCCTTGTTTATATTTCCCCATCTTATATGACCAGTACTGTATTAAAGTTCTCCCCTTGAGCAGAAATGAGAATTTCGCAGACTTCTCACCCCACATTCGAAGTATGCCAAATCACTATTTGTATCCATGACAAATCATTCAGCCAATACCTAAATCACACAAAACCTGAAATTTGGCTAAGGGCCAACAAGTCACAAAGAAACAATAAGTTGAATTCCTAATTGCACTTTACGGTTTATTCATAAAATCTGCTGTATCTATGTAGTAGGTTGAGTACAGGGCATGCCCCCTTTGAACTGACTTCATCCTCACTCTCCAGGAAGTAGTAATTCAACCTGGATTATCTGCCTGAAATGGATTACAGTAGAAGTTTATTTGCTTCCTCTAAGCAGACTTCCATGTTTCTTGTGTCATCTCCCATTCCATTACAGGGCAAAGGCTGTGATTTTGTCCAGCCTCTTATTCTCTTCCTTGTCTTGAAATGGCCAGAGTTCTCTAGCTACCAGCCACTGTTATTGATGTGATCCCCATGAACCACTGGCAAAGCCACAACAGCTTGTCTAGAAATTATGTATTAATTAATGTAGGAATTCCTAGTTAAAGTAATTAATATTAATTAAGTGTTAGCTAGAGAAAATAACACAATTCCTTGTCATTTCAGTATATGAAAAACCACCGGTAACGTCACACAAATCGACCTAATATTGAGATTATCTTTTGCCAAAATTCTTGGTCAAAAGCCAGAAATATAAATGGTCCAGTTCCATAATTAAGGAGGAAAGCGGGGGGGAGGGGAGGGTAATTCCAGATAATGGAATATTTATTGCAGGCACACAGCTTGAAAAAGTTCTGTTTGTGAACGACTGTGTCCAGAAGCCACCAGCCTTCGTGGCGAGTAGTCGCATTACCTGGAGAATTCAAGGCACTCTAGCTCCATTGACACAACTCTCCCTAGCTCTGCACAGGCCCAGTACATTTTGGTAATACCCTTCTTTAGGGTCCATGCATACAAATATGTGACAGGGAGTGAGATAAATATGATGAAATCAGCCCATTTAACCATTGTTTCCGACATGATATTTCTAAGTCAAGCCATGGAAGAGAAATGGGAAAATGTATTTTTCCCATTTCTCCCAAAATGTTTCTTTTATGCAGTGCTGTAACAGATAACCCATCTGAATCTCATGAATTTGATTAGATTTTAAATTATTGCAAAAATGCTCCTCATACACACCTTGATATCCTGGAAGCCTGGATATTCCGGGATACTTGGCAAGATGCACATGCTCATACTATTTGAACGTCTTCGTGCTGTTAACCGCCGGGACTTGCTCTTGGAAAGATGACATTGTCCTGGATCCATTGCCTTTTCACTGCGGTAAAACAGTTTACAGTCTTTCAGAAGGCAGGCCTTTGAATATAGGCTTGAATCACTTTGCTCCATATCGACACCTTTGCAAAGGTTTCAGTACCAAACAACCTCTGTCTTACCACAACTTTAACAATCAATCATTGAAAAACTTCAGAGAAGCTGCCGTGAAAGGCGTGCACACAGCTCCAGCAACAATCACAGTGGAAGGTGCTGGAAAAGATGTAGACATGCACACCCTCTGGGCCGCCTGGCAGTCTGAAATGCTGTGGCCCTTGAAGCTGTATTTATCGTCTGTCGGCTCTTCATGGGATGACAACAAAGCCAAGTCACCGACGCAAATGGGGGTTTAGGTGTTGGGAATTTGCAGGGATTATGGGAGCTCTGCCTTCTGGTGTTAAATTCCCCTTTGCCGTCAGACCATACCAGGCTTGATGCATGTGCTGACGTGATGGCAATTAGAGTGGATCAAGAGTGGGACAGTCCTTACGAGCAGAGCACCAATACACTCGGATGACATCAGTGAGCACAGATCACAGATCCTGAGACATTTGCTCTGGCCCACAGCTTAGCAAAACATTTATGAGCTTAACGTGCGATAATGCCAGAATGTGAGCCCTATTAACCCACAGGTCAAAATGTAGGGCAGTGTGCATGGGGGCGGGGGCAGATGGGTGGCATATTGGGAATTAGCTGGGTTTTTTTAATCTTAAAAAGATGTCAAGCAGTTCTGTTCTACTAAGTTACCTTATACAATTGGTGTCTGCTCCATACTGAAGAAGCACTAACTTTCTACGTGCACACTTTGTAACTCATCACACAAGTCATACAGACACTCCTATTGCAGATTCCTCAGCTAAACGAAAGCTCTGAAGGTCCAGTTGTATGATCACATCCTGCATTTTACTAGTAAGGCTTACTTAATGCCTTCAAATTTTGCTTAAAAATATTGCTCAGCTCCTTGTACTAACTGAGGCACAGCTTTAATAATCTTTATAAATTGTCCCAAATTTTTATCTGCAATCCTGTTCCTGTAATTAAGCTTCATGGAACTCTGGGAAAGTGTTTCCTGAGTCAACAAGCAGAATCTTGGAAGAAGTCACTGTTTTGACCGAAACTCCCACAAGTAGTTGTAATCTTAAAAAAATTACTTTTGAGTCTTGTGTCTAAACTGCAGGACTGCAGTCAATACTGCAGTCAAGGCTCTGCTCGTGCCCTGAGTTTGATCCAAATGGATTCAGGTAGCTGGCTCAAGTTTGACTCAACCTCCTATCCTTTTGATGATGGTAAAATGAGTACCCAGCTTGCTAGGGGTGATATGTATAGCCCGCATAATTAAATTATAACACCCCCCTGAAGACTGCTTTAAGCTCTATGAGGTGGTATACAAGTAGCAGGCTTTTGCTTTTCTAAACTCTGAAGCTAGGATTGCATTCTTAATGACCACCATATTCTGACAGAATGTTTTAATGTCTCTAAGCCAAAGTGTTGAACACATGTTCAACCATGGAACAATGGCAACTGAAACTGTCACGTCGTGGGATGCAGCTCAGATAAAAATAACAGTGTTCTATTTAACCATATATTAGTGATAGAATACTTTTATATTTATTGCATCATTATTAAGCTCTGCAGACATACACAGGGAAAGAGAGACTTAATGCGTCCACACAAATCCTGAAACTGCTACTCTGCACATCTTTCACCCAAATATATTCCCAAGGCTGGGAAGCATTGACCTATTCAGTTTCTGTTGGACTGCAACCCATCGGCTCCCCTCCTCATAACTTAATGGTGTGACTGATAGGACTGTACATCTACATCATCAGGAGAGCCACAGGTTCTCCATCCTTCCCTTAGGCAAATGCAAGGAGCTAATTAGGACTTGGTTGTCCTGAACTGAGGTTGACAAGAAAATCAATGGCCAAAAAAAATCTTTCTTGCATTATTTGATTCAAGGAACATAGGCCAATGAAGCTAAACAGAAAAAAAACTGCAAATGAAAGGTTGTCACCCAGAGTTATGATCAACAAGACCAACCTTGACAATGAGCATCTTTACAATTTCACAACATTAAAGGCTTATTTAAAAACAAGAATCCTGCTGCCTTGTACATACCTGATGGAATAAAATGGGAACCTAGCAGTTGATTTCCCTAGGGTCACAACTCTACCTTCTCTGTCTTGTAATCTAATATAACCATGCCTATGCAGGATCATCTGCCTTAGTGACTGGTTATTGTACGTTCTTGGATCGTAGCATGATTAAATGTTTTTCCCCTCCCATCTGTGCAGAACTGGTTACATCTATGCAGGTAAGCTACTACAGTAGGTTACAGTGACACATTGCATCAATCCTTAAGTGACGAGTGGCATGAAATCTGTTTTGGGACAGATGGTACTTTGCACGGCTGAGGAAACAGAAAAAAACAGCAACAGCAGGAGACGGGCTAATTCCATGTGTGACGCACGGAATTATTATTTCTTTCTTGTAAAGTCGAGGATCAACGTACTAATGATACTGCTCACGGTTGTCATCTAATTCAGAGGAATAATTAGTTGCTCTATGAAATAACTTCACTTGTCACTGCTGCTTTTATGAGAGGAAGCCTATTGTAACCTTAGAAACTTCAGTGGGACTTCTGTATAAATGCAGCATTTACTGTCACCACAGGAAATATTCACCTCTTTCCTTGGAAACCTGCAGATTCCAAACCTGTTATTACAATAGTTACGTCCAACATCAAAGCACATTTGCAAACCTTTCCCACCCCATTTTCAAAATCTGCACGGAGAAGCCAGCACATTTCCATTATAATTGCTCCTTGCACTTAATGAGACTGCGATGAAGTTACTAAGAAGCTGTCACTTGTAGAGAAACCTGGAGAGGGGAAAGAATGGCAGGGTCCCACTTTAATCGGAGGTTTGGGCTCAATTTCCAGTAGGTTGAAATCAGTCCACCATGAGCGTTCTTGTACAATCCCCCACACACTGACATACTGTACCATTAATGCACAGAGATGGGGTCGGGGGTCAGAAACAAATGCATTTCTGACTCTGCAGTAAAGCTCCATATCCTGTTTAACATCAACGGTTATCATTAGTGTGATGATTGCCATTTCTTTATCCTCAAATGAAAAGAAATGTAGACTTCTAAAATGCACAGGTTCTGTTTTAACTCTGAGGTCAGAACACAGGGAGCAAATAATGAGATCATGAAAACTTGCAAGATTTTTATCATATTGGCTGTGCTCTTGAGGAATGTTGTTTAAAAATAGAGTGGATGTCTGGCATAGTGGTGCTTTTTTGTCTAGTCCAATTTGTCTTTTGAGGGCTGCAATTGTATGTTTGTGCTTTACTGCCAGAGGTGGGAAGGAGCCCACAATGCTTTGCACAGATGAAGCAAGAAAACCTACAAAGTTTAGATAGCAAGGATGACCTGGATGTCTTTCCTCATTGTTTACTTATCCTGCTCTTATCTGTGATATAAACCGAAACTATGAGGGGATGAATTCACTTCCTCCCGGTCAGGCCCTTTCCAGCTCTCCCTTAGAATGCAGCTTAACCTAGTACACTTAGTGATTATCCATGGTGTAGTTCCCATAATAAAGCCTATTGACTTTGATTCCTTTAACCTACTCTCTTTGCATCTTAATCAGAACTTCTCATACCCAGATCTTCTGCATATATTCGGCTACACACAGGACTGCAGCCTGATCTTTAGCCATTTTATTCAGCAGCAAACCTCAGTGGGCTGGGTTTACTTCCCAAAAATTTAGGCAAACAATAGCCAAACTCCAAGCTCTTTGATGCTTTACCTTTCAGTTCCCAGAAGAGGCTTCCTACAATCTAATTTCACAAACCAGTTCCAAGTAACCTCTCAACTATGTGACCATGTCATTGAGGTCAATGAAACAACCAACACGGCGTGCATTTCTTTAAGCAGAATCCAGTGATCAAGTTTAGAATATTTTTGTCTTCTTCACTCCCAGCCTGAATCAATGAACGCCTGTTTCTCATTTGATGTCACTATGAGCATCCAGGGTACTTTTTTTCATAGCCCTAACGTCATAGGAGGAGGCTGCTGCGCTCAACGAGCATAAATATCGAACGCTCTTATTCTGGAGCTCCTTGAAGGATGATTCAGGTGCAAGTGTTACAATAACAATTAGGGGTGAGCTTGCATGCGGAACATGAAATGATCTCTTTGCCAAACAGTTGACTGAGGAAGCCACAGTAAGGGCCAAATCTCAAGGGGGAACTTCTAGTTCTTGACCAGATAACAACAGACTGCCATTGCTCTGGTGCTTCAGAATGTTATTTTTAAAATGCACCCTTAAACAAGCTGTGACGGACTGAGAAAGTAATAAATATGAGCAGATGATAGCACCCTCATCTTGACAGAGCATTTCCCACCCCACCCCCATCATGCATACAGTCTCAGTTCCAGTCCCTTACATTTCCAGTTAATAGGGTCTGGTAGCAACAAGAGATGTGAAAAATTTCTGCCTGGGGCCATACAGAGTAAACTGTCAATCCATTTCGGCCAAAAACAAAAAGGGCTAGATGGAGAAATAACTACATGCCCTTGGCTTTCTTTTCTCCCTTAAAATCTTGCCTTTAAGAAATCAAGACATGCCACACTTTTGACATTTTGAATTCTCATTATCAGCTTCTCACCTATTCCTAATCTGTACCATAACAAATTTCATTCACAATTCTGGCTGTGTTCTTGAGCTTTCCTTCAAAATGGAGGGTTCAGAGAAACAGCAACCACACAGCAAGCCTTTTAAAGTTTACCATCCATCTAGTTACCACTTGAGCAGAAGATCATCTCTAACTTCTGGAAAGGGTCTCTAAAACAGGATTGCTAGGACCAGATGATCTTAGGGAATTGCTGTGCTCACCTGCATCTCCAGGTAGGGAGGCAAATCTTATAGCAAGCAGTGTTGGAAGAGGGGGAAGTCTGATTTTATTGTGTATGACAGGTATAATGTCTGGTCATTCGTCTCCTGTCTACCCTCAAGTGGCCCAGCATGAAATGTTTGAATGCATGTGGCACACACTGTATAATATTTGTTTAGTAGGTAGTACAGGAAATGCAAATAGGTTGTCTGT